TAGAAATATCGAAAAAGTGAAAATCGAGAAATGGGAAAATTGAAAAGTCGAGAATTTGAAGAATCAAAATGACTGAAAAATCCCAAAACTGAAATATCGGAAAATTGAAAAAAATTGTAAAACATTAAAACTGAAAAACAAAAGAAGTGCAAAATTACAAAATTGAAAATTTGGAAAAATAAAAATTTAAAAATCGAAAAATTGGGAAAAATTATGAAAATGAAAAGTCGAAAACGTGTAAAATTAACATTGAAATTTTGAATAAAAAAAAAAATCAAACAGTAATCGAGAAATTGGAAAATCTGACGTGTAATTGAAAAAATGATTCATTAAAAATCGGACAATTCAGAAATCGAAAGATGTAAAAATATAAAACTGGCAAATCAAAAAATTGCAAAATTACAGAACTGCAAAATTGGATAATTGTAAAATTGAAAATCGAATAATTCTAAACCAAAAAATTGAAAAACCAGACACATAGTAAGATGTAAAATGGAAAAATACTAAATTTAAAAATCGAAACATTTCCAAATTGTGAAAATGAAAATCAAAAACTTGAAAAATTGAAAATCAAAATTTTGAAAAATTAAAAATCAAAAAATTGAAAATTCGAAACCATGAATTTCGGAAAATTGAGAAAACAAGAAAAGAATGATTGAGTAATTAAAAACCGCATAATTGAATTAAACGGAAAAATAAAAAAATTGAAAAATTAAAAAAGAAATTTGGAATAATTAAAAATCAAGAAAATGAAAAGTTGTAAAATTACAAAATTAAAAAATTTGGTGAGTGTAAACTGGAAAATTTATCAAAGTTAAAAACGAAAAATTGCAAACTATTAAATTCAAAACGAACGATTGAAAAATCGAGAAATTAGAAATTTTGAAAACCTGATTCATTAAAAAATGGACAATTGAGAAAGTGATGAGTTGTAAAAATATAAAACTGAAAATTCGTACAGTTTAAAAACGGAAAAATTGAAAAATCAGACAATTGTAAAATAGAAAAATTACAACACTGAAAAATCGAAAAAGTGCCAAATTGTGAAATTGATAAATTAAAAACTTGGAAAATTGGAAATTGAAATTTTAAAATATTAAAAATCAAAAATTAGAAAATCGAGACAATGAAATTCGGATACCTCTATAAACGGAAGTTTTATAAAATAATTAAACTGAAAACTCAAAAACTTGAAAAATTAAAATTGAATTTGACCTTTTTAAAGGTATCTGAATTTCATTGTTTCGATTTTCTAATTTTTTGATTTTTCAATTTAATTTTTTTTTGCACTTTTTCGATTTTTCAATTTTGTAATTAATCTATTTCACAATTGTCTGATTTTTCAATTTTTGAATTTTAAAATTATGCGATTTTAACCTTCTCGGGAGGCTCAACTGTATTTTTTTGAAAATGTAAAACCTTCTCAGGGATCCCAGCTGGCTTTTTAAAAATGTAAAACCTTCTCGGAAGCCACAACTGATTTTTTTAAGAATGTGAAACTTTCTCAGAGATCCCAACTGGCTTTTTTAAAAATGTAAAACCTTCTCGGGAGGCTCAACTGGATTTTTAAGAATATGAAACCTTCTCAGAGATCCCCTGACTGGCGTTTTTAAAAATATAAAACCTTCTCGGGAGGCTCAACTGTATTTTTTGAAAATGTAAAATCTTCTCAGAGATCCCCTCTGAAAAATCAAAAAATTGTAAAATTACAGAACTTGGATAATTGTAAAATTGAAAATCGAATAATTTTAAAACGGAAAAATTGAAAAACTAGACACACAGTAAGATGTAAAATCGAAAAATACTAAATTTAAAAATCGAAATATTGCCAAATTGTGAAAATGACAATCAAAATTTTGAAAAATTCAAAATCAAAAAATTGAAAAATCGAAACCAGGCATTTCGAAAAAGTGAAAAAACAAGAATTGAATGATTGAGTAATTAAAAACCGCATAATTGTAAAATTGTAAAGTTGAAAAATCATTAAAGGGAAAAATCGAAAAAGTGGAAAATCGCATACTTTTAAAAACGAAATTGTAAAAAAATTAAACGGAAAAATAAAAAATTTGAAAAATTAAAATTTGGAATAATTAAAAATCAAGAAATTGAAAAGTTGTAAAATTACAAAATTGAAAAATTTGATCATTGTAAACTGGAAAATTTATCAAAGTATAAAGACGAAAAATTGCAAACTATTAAATTCAAAACGAACGATTGAAAACTCGAGGAATTGGAAATTCTGATAAGTGAAAAATCAAATTTTGAAAAACTGATTCATTAAAAAATGAACAATTGAAAAAGTGATGATTTGTAAAAATATAAAAGAAAATTCGTACAGTTTTAAAATGGAAAAATTGAAAAATCAGACAATTGTAAAATAGAAAAATTACAACAGTGAAAAATCGAAAAATCGACATATCAAAAAATTGAAAAATCCCAAAATAGTTAGAAATATCGAAAAGTGAAAATCGAGAAATGGGAAAATTGAAAAGTCGAGAATTTGAAGAATCAAAATGAATGAAAAATCCCAAAACTGAAATATCGGAAAATTGAAAAAGTTGTAAAACATTAAAACTGAAAAACAAAAAAGTGCAAAATTACAAAATTGAAAATTTGGAAAAAGAAAAATTTTAAAATCGAAAAATTGGGAAAAATTATGAAAACAAAAAATCGAAAACGTGTAAAATTAACATTGAAATTTTGAATTAAAAAAAAAATCAAACAATAATCGAGAAATTGGAAAATTTGACGTGTAATTGAAAAAATGATTCATTAAAAATCGGACAATTCAGAAATCGAAAAATGTAAAAATATAAAACTGGCAAATCAAAAAATTTCAAAATTACAGAACTGCAAAATTGGATAATTGTAAAATTGAAAATCGAATAATTCTAAACCAAAAAATTGAAAAACCAGACACATAGTAAGATGTAAAATGGAAAAATACTAAATTTAAAAATCGAAACATTTCCAAATTGTGAAAATGAAAATCAAAAACTTGAAAAATTGAAAATCAAAATTTTGAAAAATTAAAAATCAAAAAATTGAAAATTCGAAACCATGAATTTCGAAAAATTGAGAAAACAAGAATTGAATGATTGAGTAATTAAAAACCGCATAATTGAATTAAACGGAAAAATAAAAAAATTGAAAAATTAAAATTGAAATTTGGAATAATTAAAAATCAAGAAAATGAAAAGTTGTAAAATTACAAAATTAAAAAATTTGATGAGTGTAAACTGGAAAATTTATCAAAGTTAAAAACGAAAAATTGCAAACTATTAAATTCAAAACGAACGATTGAAAAATCGACAAATTAGAAATTTTGAAAACCTGATTCATTAAAAAATGGTCAATTGAGAAAGTGATGAGTTGTAAAAATATAAAACTGAAAATTCGTACAGTTTAAAAACGGAAAAATTGAAAAATCGGACAATTGTAAAATAGAAAAATTACAACACTGAAAAATCGAAAAAGTGCCAAATTGGGAAATTGATAAATTAAAAACTTGGAAAATTGGAAATTGAAATTTTCAAATATTAAAAATCAAAAATTAGAAAATCGAGACAACGAAATTCGGATACCTCTATAAACGGAAGTTTTATAAAATAATTAAACTGAAAACTCAAAAACTTGAAAAATTAAAATTTAATTTGACCTTTTTAAAGGTATCTGAATTTCATTGTTTCGATTTTCTAAGTTTGTGATTTTTCAATTTAATTTTTTTTTTTTGCACTTTTTCGATTTTTCAATTTTGTAATTAATCTATTTCACAATTGTCTGATTTTTCAATTTTTGAATTTTGAAATTATGCGATTTTAACCTTCTTGGGAGGCTCAACTGTATTTTTTTGAAAATGTAAAACCTTCTCGGGAGGCTCAACTGTATTTTTTGAAAATGTAAAACCTTCTCAGAGATCCAAACTGACTTTTTTAAAAATGTAAAACCTTCTCGGGAAGCTCAACTGTATTTTTTGAAAATGTAAAACTTTCTCGGAAGCCAACACTTTTTTTTAAGAATATGAAACCTTCTCAGAGATCCCCCAACTGGCTTTTTTAAAAATGTAAAACCTTGTCGGAGGTCCCAACTGTTTTTTTTTTTAAAACGTAAAAAATTCTCAGGTGTCCCAAGTGTCTTTTTTTAAGAATACAAATCTTCTTGGACCTTCCAACTGTATTTTTTTTTAAACAAAGTGAAATCTTCGTTTTTCTTTTTCCTATGAGTACTAGCTTCTATATCGTTTTGCTCCATAGCGTTTATCACAAAAAAGTAAAATTTCCGAAAATCAAATTTTATAATTTTTCAAGGAACTGTACTTCAGGGACGAGGTAAGTTCAGTCGAAATAACTTTCGACGAATTTTTTCACCGACGTCACGCCGCGCCGAAAGAATCACCGATCTAACTGTTTCGAATTTTAAATATTCACAATGCGCCATCAAAAAAATCCTTTACAAACCCAGCACGTAACGGGCCCATCAATCCATTTTTTCTCCACTTTCTCGCGCACTCCGCCGTAACCCGTCGCTGACCCCATCCCCATCCACGTCCGTCCGTTCTTTCGACAAATTGCCGCCAATTACCTCATTAACTCCTCTCGTGTCCACTCCACGCAACAATAAAAAAGACACATTATTAAAACGATCCTTTTTAAAACCTTAATAACACTCCTGCGAAGAGCTTGAAGACAGCCAATAACGAAGAAATCACAGGACTGTGACCCGCCAAAAATTATCGACACCCTATTTACACTGTAACATATATAATTATTGCGGGATCGGATGCAGATTCATCGTGTTTAATGTCGTTTTTTGCCTTTTTTGACGGTTTAAGTGGTGACGTTTTACGATCGAGCCGTTGGTTTTTACTGCTTGGGTTTAATTAAATTGGAAAAGTCAAAGCGGCAATTAAATGGGAACGATTAAGAGCATGGACGACGATGGAGGTAGAGGAGATGGTATAAATTACGGGAAAAATACGGCCGTGGTTAAAAATTGCAAGATTTGCGGACATGGATTTATTTATTTCGGTTTTAATGTTGGATAATTATGCGCTGGATAATGAAGACGTTCAATTCGGAGGTTTTTGTGGGTTTGAAGACGCACCAAGCGGGTAGACGAACGATACCCTTTTGTAGATCATAGATCGTGGAAAAGGGTTATTAGAACTGCCCCTGTAAACCTTCACGGGCTCTTCTACGATTTAGTTATTTAAGCTATGTTTAGTTTGATAATGATCTTATACTCACTATTTTCGTTAAAACACGACGTGGTCGTTATTAGTTCATTTTTCCTAGTTTCTATGACTTGTTTGCAAGAAATGGTTCCAAAAGGGCATTCCTTGTCGAAACATCGGACTAAAACTGTGTGTGTAACGAATGAGATAAAACGCCATTTTAGCACTCACAGATTGGGTAAGTTGTGATGTCACCAACCACTGTGACCAAAAGTATGACAAAAAGCGTTAGTGGCATTTTTGTGCACTTATTGCGACGTACTAAATGTTTATTAAATCATTCAAATTTATCGTGAGTGCACTTTATTGAAAAAATTCTAAAGTTCATGGTGGTTTCGTCGTAAACAGAATTTACATTACTGCATCAAAATTTTGCTTGATCAAAATATTTACTGATTCGTTTATACCAAGATATCTAATTTTTTTAGAAGCAGATCTCGCGTTTCTTTCTGTCATTTCTTGTCATCATCAGTATTTGTCGCCTTATGATTGCAGAAAAATAAAAATCCCGTCCAAAATCGTGATGACCTCATCACCAAATTTTATTAATTGATTAATTATTATTTAATGAGTTGTGCTAGGGGCGAGGGAAGTTCTGTCTAAACAAAATGGAACTATTGTTCTATTTTTTAGTAGGCTGATCTGACTGGATTACATTCGTTTTATTAAGTAATATGTACAACTTTGCCCGAAGTCTGGACTGGACTTTAATCTAGGCAACCAATAATACACCAATCGACAAAAATGATCATCTTAAGTTTGCTGTTGTTCTTGGTGTCAAAATAAGTCTACACATTTAAAAAAAAACAAAAGGCAAAATGTTGGCCCGCCCACCCACCCTATCTCAATTGTGATGATTTTTTTATTCGCCGTGAACCAAAGGGGGCGGAGCTTAACTGCAAAATACGTATTTTTTACAAGAAATTAAAAACATGTTTTACAGTATCGTGTTGTTCAAAGAATACTGTGTATATTAAGAAAAAAAGGCAAAATATAAAAATAATTTTTCGCTTGGGTCTTTTTTTCTTTATTTTTACAATTTTTCGATTTTCAATTTTTCATTTATTTTTTGTTTCGTCAATTTAATGATTGAGTTGCATACTCTTGAGTTTTTATTTTTAAATTGTTTAGTTTTTCGATTTTCCAATTTCTGGATGTTCAGATTTCTAATTTTTTTTTCGATTTACAGTTTCACGAGGTTTTTGGTTTTTTTGTTTTAGATTCAGTTTTTTGACCTTACAATTTTTAATTTTTCGGTTTCTAATCAATTGTTAAAATTTATGTTTTTAATTTTTCGTCTCTTCAATTTTTTGACTTTTGAAATTTTTTAATAATTAAGTTTATGGCTTTCCCAGTTTTTAATGCTTAGATTCTTTAATTCTTCGACTGTACAATTTTTCCACTTTTTAAATTTTTGTATATTTTTTAAGTTTTCGATTTTTTTAAGTCTACCGATTTTTAAGATTTTAATGTTTCGTTTCTTCGGTTTTTTAACTTTTGAACTTTTTGGTTTTCCGATTTTTGGAGAGACAACTTTAAACTTTTTGGTTTTGCAACTTTTGAATTTTCTCCGTTTTTCGAATTTTCAATTCTTAGATCTTTTAGTTTCTTCTCTGATTTTCCGTTTTTTCACTTTTTCGATTTGCAATTTTTCGATTTTTCACTTTTATGATTTAGCAACATTTAGATTTTTCAACTTTTGGAAAAATTTCAAAATTGTAAAACTGAAAAATCCAAAATAAAAAAAGAAAAAAGAAAACCTGAAAATTGAAAAAATTGAGAAATGAAAAATTGAAAAATTGAAAAACTTCAAAATCGAAAAAGTCCAAAATCGAAAAACCGAAAGAAATACGTATTGTAAAATTGAAATATTGAAAATTTAAAAATCTGGGAAGTGAAAAATCAAAGACTGAAAATTTGAAAAATTGAGTAACGAAAAATTATAAAAACGAAAGAACGATAGATTCGATATCATGTTTTTCGATTTTATGATTCGTTTTTTCAATTTTTTGATTTTACGATTTTATGGTTTGACGATTTTTAGATTTTGTCCATTTTTCGTTTACTTTAATTTTTCAATTTCTTAATTTTTCGATTTTAAAATTTTTTCAGTTTTCAATTTTTGTATTTTTCAATCTTCTGCAATTTTTAGAAATTTTTTGGGTTTTAATTTTTCACTTTCTCGATTTTTAATTTTTCGATTTTTCCATTTTTCTCCAGTGAAATTGATTCGATTTTCGATTTTTGGTTACTTCAATTATTCGATTTTTCAATTTTTTGACTCTTGAATTTTTCGATTAGAAATTTTCGACTTTTCAGTTTCTTCCATCTTTAGTTTTTCAATTTATTTTACAATTTTAGGGTAATACAATTTTTGGATTTTCTCAGTTTTTTTGTTTCTTCGAATTGCATTTTTCAAATTTTCGAATTTAAGAATTTTTGATTTTACGATTTCTGTTTTTTTCATTTTCTCGGTTTTTAAATTTCGCGATTTTTAATTTTTCGATTTTCAAATTTCCTGGTTTTTCAGTTTTCCGAGTCTACAATATTTTCATTTTCCAATGTTTGTAATTTTCAGGATTTTTCATTTCTTTGCAAATTTTCGATATTTTACAATTTTTTCGATTCTTTGGTTTTTCAATTTTTCGATTTTTTAGTTTCGTGGCTTTTAATTTTTCTGTTTCCGAGTTGAGGATTTTTCGAGGTCTCGATGTTTCGACTTCTGACTATTCGACTTTTGGTTTTTTCGATTTCTCGATTTTTCGAATTTTCGATTATTAAATTTTTAGTTTTCTCGATATTTCGATGTTCCAGTTTTGAGATTTTTTTAAATTCTTTATTTTCGATTCTTCGATTTTTGGATATCTGCGTTTTTCGACTTTTCGATTCGTCAATTTACCCATTATTTCTAATTTTTCCATATTTCAATTTTGGCATTTATCGATTTTTCGATTCTTCAATTTTTGGGATTTTCAATTTCTCGATGTTTCGATTTCTTTTCGTTGAAAAACATTTCGACTTTCCGGTTTTTCGAATTCTCGACTTCTCAACTTATTCAGTTTTTCGATTCTTTAATTTTTCCAATTTTTCGAATTTTTGATGTCAATTTTTCGATTTTTTAAATTTTAGCATTTCGATTTTTCGATTTATCGATGTTTCAAAGTTTCGATTTTTCTAAGTATTTCTCAATTTTCCAATTTTTAAATTTTTTATTTTAGCGGTTGAAAGTTCTTCCAACACAAAAATTTAAAACATCGGAGATGTTATATAAAGTCGGGAAATGAAAAGTAGTAAAAATCGGGAAAATTAAAAATTGAGAAACTTAAAAAGACTTTTTTTCACAACATGAAACTTAAAACATGTTTAAAAGAAAATTTGTATAGGGAAATATCTATTTTGCAATTATGCTCCGCCCCATAATTGCAAAATCCATATTTCCTCGCAAAAATGTACCATTTTAACCATGTTTTAAGTTTCTTGTTGTGAAAAGATGACTATACACATTAAGAAAGGAAGACAAAATGTAGCCCCGCCCACCCACCCTATCTCAATTGTGATGATTTTTTTTATTCGCCGTGAACCAAAGGGGGCGGAGCTTAACTGCAAAATACGTATTTTTTACAAGAAATTAAAAACATGTTTTAGAGTATCGTGTTGTTCAAAGAATACTGTGTATATTAAGAAAAAAAGGCAAAATATAATAATAATTTTTCGCTTGGATCTTTTTTTTTTTTATTTTTACAATTTTTCGATTTTCAATTTTTCATTTATTTTTTGTTTCGTCAATTTAACGATTGAGTTGTATACTCTTGAGTTTTTATTTTTAAATTGTTTAGTTTTTCGATTTTCCAATTTCTGGATGTTTAGATTTCTAAATTTTTTTTCGATTTACAGTTTCACGAGGTTTTTGTTTTTTTTGTTTTAGATTCAGTTTTTTGACCTTACAATTTTTAATTTTTCGGTTTCTAATCAATTGTTAAAATTTATATTTTTAATTTTTCGTCTATTCAATTTTTTGACTTTTGAAATTTTTTAATAATTAAGTTCATGGATTTCCCAGTTTTTAATGCTTAGATTCTTTAATTCTTCGGCTGCACAACTTTTTCACTTTTTAAATTTTTGGATATTTTTTAAGTTTTGGATTTTTTTAAGTCTACCGATTTTTAAGTTTTTACTTTTTCGTTTCTTCGGTTTTTTAACTTTTGAACTTTTTGATTTTCCGATTTTTGGAGAGACAACTTTAAACTTTTTGGTTTTGCAACTTTTGAATTTTCTCCGTTTTTCGAATTTTCAATTTTTAGATCTTTTAGTTTCTTCTCTTATTTTCCGTTTTTTCACTTTTTCGATTTGCAATTTTTCGATTTTCCACTTTTTTGATTTAGCAACATTTAGATTTTTCAACTTTTCGAAAAATTTCAAAATTGTAAAACTGAAAAATCCAGAATAAAAAAAGAAAAAAGAAAACCTGAAAATTGAAAAAATTGGAAATCAAGAACTTGGATAATTGAAGAAACGAAAAATTGAAAAATTGAGAAACTTCAAAATCGAAAAGGTCCAAAATCGAAAAACCGAAAGAAATACGTATTGTAAATAAAATCGAAATATTGAAAATTAAAAAATCGGGGAAGTGAAAAATCAAAGACTGAAAATTTGAAAAATTGAGTAACGAAAAATTATAAAAACGAAAGAACGATAGATTCGATATCATGTTTTTCGATTTTATGATTCGTTTTTTCAATTTTTTGATTTTTCGATTTTATTATTTGACAATTTTTAGATTTTGTCCATTTTTCGTTTACTTTAATTTTTCAATTTCTTAATTTTAAAATTTTTTCAGTTTTCAATATTTGTATTTTTCAATCTTGTGCAATTTTTAGAACTTACGATTTTTAGATTTTGCAGGACCTCGTTTTTTTTTTAATTTTTTGGGTTTTTAATTTTTCACTTTCTCGATTTTTAATTTTTCGATTTTTCCATTTTTCTCCAGTGAAATTGATTCGATTTTCGATTTTTGGTTACTTCAATTATTCGATTTTTCAATTTTTTGACTCTTGAATTTTTCGATTAGAAATTTTCGACTTTTCAGTTTCTTCCATCTTTAGTTTTTCAATTTATTTTACAATTTTAGGGTAATGCAATTTTTGGATTTTCTCAGTTTTTTTTGTTTCTTCGAATTGCATTTTTCAAATTTTCGAATTTAAGAATTTTTGATTTTACGATTTCTCTTTTTTTCATTTTCTCGGTTTTTAAATTTCACGATTTTTAATTTTTCGATTTTCAAATTTCCTGGTTTTTCAGTTTTCCGAGTCTACAATATTTT